TTAATTATTATTATTATTGTTATTAAATTATTACTGTTATTTATTAATATTTGAGTTTCTGGCTATTTCGAAATTTTAACTTGTTGAAAGTATTAACTAAAGAATATTAAAAAATTCATCAGCTTAAATTTAAGGTAGAAAAAGATGCATTTATAATGCAATGTCGTATGACTGATGACGGGGCATCTTGGATGGTTGAAATAACAGGTTGCAAGGCACCATCGGGTACCGAAATACCTATAAATTCAAGTCTTATCGATGGCAATTATGAATGGAAATGCATGAAAAATAATAATGGACAAATTGTTATGCAAAAAGCTTTACATGCTAATGCTACATGCGGTGATCATCAACGTGGTATTTGTTAATTTGTTATATTTAAATCGATAATATTCAAAAATATAAACTTAGCGCACGTATATCATACATATGTTAAAAAATATGAAATGTTATTTTTTGCCTTTTTTTGTAACAAAAAAATTTGAATTTTTGTTCATTGAATTTCTTATGAAAAAATGCGAACTTTTTTTAAAAGAATTACATATTTTCAATTAGATGAACAGTGGCGTGAGGGATCATTTTTATACGAATGTGGAGCAGGTGGACGACAAAAATTGGTGGCATGTTTTGCTGAAGGTGATGAGCAAATAAATATTGGTGAATCGAAGGAAATTAATGGATATATTGTAAAGTAAGTTAATTATTTTTTCTTAATTTGATTGAATAATATTTTATGTATATATGTGTTTTTTAATATTTTCTTCATGTATATGTTTTAAGTTCAAATAATGCATTTTGATTCTCCCATTTTTATGAACAATTAATATTGTTATGGATTGCATTATAATCGTTAATAATATTAATCAATGATAATGATAATAGTTATTTTAATAATAACTATGACAGTAATTATAAATTGGAGAATAGAAAAACATAAAGCGAAATGTAATTTACGAAATTATACTTTATGTTCGAAAGTCATTTAATCCAGAAAATCATATCTAATATGCGATGTTCTTCACAGCGATTTAATTCTCTCATCTAATATAACATGAGGTACCACAAATCACATGAGGGTACCACAACTGGAAATCTTCAGTTACCCACAATAAAAATATCGTTAATATAACGATTTTCTTATTCAATAATGCAGTGTATTGGTACCATAATTAGGTAAAAATGATACAGTACAGATAACAGAATGTGAATAAGTATTCTGTCAGGAAAACGGTGATCTCTCTGCTAAAAAAAAAAAAAAACAGGAAATAATATCGATTACAAGCATTGCAATCTGATTGTTAGTAGCATAATTTAGTGTAAACACAAAATCCATTAGCAACACGTTGTTTTTTCAGATGTGAAAAATATGAAAATGGAACGGTTGTAATGCATGGAATCCGTAAAGGAACTGAAAATGGAACAGAATTTCATGTAGAATGTATTGATTCGAAAGGTGAACATCATGCTGCTGGTATGTTTTACAGTATGCAAAACTTTTGCTAATAAAATCTTTATCACTTCTCATGAATCATGAATTTATTTAATTCATTGTCTGTTCAATTTTTAATTAATTCTCATTTTTTCTTTGTTCTATATCAATCTTTTAATTCTAAATTGAATCAAATTTTGAATTTTTTTCTAGAAAAAAAACTTTGAATTCTTTATTGCTTTCCCTTTAAAAAAAATTAAAATTAAAATGAAATTAATTATTTGAAAAATCATAAATAGGAACTAATTTTTCAAAGCTTACATTCTATCTATCTTAATGAGTGTAATTTAGATGCGGCTTGGATTTGTTAACTATTTTTAAAGATTGGCTTATCATTTGTGTATTAGCGGGAAAGTTTCTGTAAATTAAACTAAATTGAGTGCCATCAAATAGTCAGAAATCAGTTATCATTAGTAAGAATACATGAATATTAATTGTAAAATTCAAATATAAAGGACGGTTTAAAATGACATAAGAAAAAACATGTATGAGATATGCAGATATTGTTAGAAAAATACTTGATGTTTCACTATTTTTGCCAGTATTTCAGGATTGCAAAAAAATTAGTGAAGCATAAAAATAAATAAATTGAAATTAAAAATTGAACGAAAGTTAAATGCGATAAAAACATATCATTTTTATCGGTATTTTATAGATTCTTGGTGGATAGATGATGAACGATTCAATAAGACATGCTTGCCAAATGGTAAAATTGATGTAGTAAATTGCATTTCAAAAGATGGCATTGAAATCCCACTGAATAAAGAAATAATTTCTGGTGATACTAAATACACGTTCGTTTAATTTTTCAATTATATTATAGTATTTATATTGTTAATTTTTTATGCTTAAGCGAATTTAAAACTTTCCATAAATGCAACTCAAATGCAACTTTTTTAAATGATTTATAAATGATCACAAAATTGTCCTTTTATTCGTAATCATATTTGAATAATGTTTAATTTTTTTCCCAGTAATTTTCATTTATGCTTTTGATGATAAAATTTAATGATTTTTTTCCAAAAAAACTTTTATATTTAGTTGGTAAAATTTAGATGAACTGATTTTAGAGAAGGGCAATTTTTTTAACTTTATAAAAAATTTTTTAAATTTGTTTTTCTTTTTAATTTTTTAAAAAGGTAGCGAAAAGATAGGAAATTAATAAAACTAAAAATTTACAATTTTTATAGGTGTGAAAGAACAGAGGATGGTGGAATACGTTTTGCATCCGGTCCAATCGATGAAGTAACCAGTAAATAACGGATAAGAAGAAAAAAATTACTTCATGTCATATTTTTACACAGATATCCGTATTTAATTCTAAAAGAGAAGATAGAGACAAAAATTATCTGAATAATTTGCATTTTCCGGATCTGGAATAAAAATAAAATTAGAAAAAGTGTCATTCATTGTATTAACTTTATAAAGAAGACAATTAGAAATTTTTAGCGATATAGATCTTATTTGATATTTTCTCTATATGCTGTAGGTAAATCAAAAAAAGCATAAAAGATAACTTTAATTAACTGCTACTAAATGCAGAACGTTATGCATCAATCACCAAAAATAGTTGCCAGAATTTCGGGAATCTCTTTGGAACGTTTTGGAAGAGCAGTATTTTATCATTCATTGTACGTTTGAGTTGTACTAAGTTTTTTTTCTATATATACAACTAAATTAGATATTAATGAATTGTATCGAAATACTTGCAGAATATTTTCAATTATTTGATATGATTATGTTTATAATTAAGCGAAATGCATAAAAAAGGATAAAATTACTTGATCATAAATATGATGTTTTCATGTTGTATATGAGCATATGAAACTGATAAGATTGTCATTTTTTTTAATGTAGAATAGATGAATGATGAAAATATTTGAAATTAAATGAGTTATTTGAAACAATTACTTCAGTTTCAAAGTTGTTTGAAAAGCAGCTAAAAATATGCTTTGCATATTATCAGATCATATCATATGTGCTTTGCTTTTACGCCATTCTGCTTAGGTGGGATTTTAATAAGAATTAAAATTAGGCATATTGTTTGAAAACACCAATTAAAAGAAAAATTTATTTTAAAGTTCTCTTAACAGGCATACCGGATCGATTTGGATTAAAAAATATAATTTAATTACTCTAGGGCCCACACAAGAAGATAAAGCAGTAAACAAACGATGTATTATTTTTGTTTAAATGAATCATTTCATCGCATTCTCTCGATGTGGACAAAAATAAAGTTTTGATAAAAAAAGAGGATTATTGAACAGTTAAATTAAGCGCCAAGTACTACTTAGATTTCTGCACAAGTTCAGATCGAATTTTTTCACGATCGTTGTCTAAAAACCAGATCAATAGATGTATAATCAAAATGGTGCTTTTACTAATAGCTTCTAAAATTCAAATTTTACTGAAAAAGGATATCCAAATCACTGAGAATGTATTGCGAATCAGATTTTTGTGGAACATATTCCGAATCTACATGCTCCGGCTCTGACAGGACATACATGGGACTAATGGTACTTGGATCATTGCCCCCTTTCGGTTGATTCTCTTCTGCAGTGTCTGAAAAGATCATCCGTGCGCGATTTATTAAAGACCTCAAGTGAATTAATTTGACTTAAAAAACGATCAACATATGCAGCAGTTCTTCATAAAATAAATTCACTTCACCATCCCAACTCACAGAATTTAACGTTTCTCATGAATACAGATTAATAATAACTGAAAAAGTTGCTGAGAATTACTACTGATGGCAAATATAGAAAATTACTTTCATTATAGCATTCTGTTATTTGCAATCCGCAATTGTTGTCCATTCCATTAGTCGACTCATACATACATCCTTCATTATTTGTTATTGCCGATTCCATAGTAACAGTCTGTGGAACATCCGGACAAGTTTTCAGTTCTTGTGGAGCCAAAAATATTTCAGATTGCCATGAATCTTCCACACCATTGTAAACAATGGTAGACTGTAAAAATTCTTGTTTTATATTATTACTCTATTGATTATCACTAACAATAGTTATCGTTTGATTATTAATCATAATATTGTTTTAAAAGTGATAAGCCTAATTCCAGTAAAATATGATATTTCTATTTCCACACCAAACATATTAATACTTGGTATGGGAAAAAAATTTCCATGCCAATCATATAAGCAATTAAATAATAAAATTTATATGTATAACTTGAAACCTTCAAAATTTGCATATTATAAGGAAAATAAGTAAGATTTGATTGAAATGCATGATGCTCAGTTTATAAACAAATAACTTTTTTTCAATATCAGCTAAATAATTAGTTTTTTCCTCTCTCAAATCCCATGTTAGGAAAATATACTCTGCAAGAAGGAATTTGTTTTCTCATTTCATACTAAAAATACTTAAAGAGATAAAAAACAAAAAACATAGAGGAATCTAACCTGCGATTGCTCAATAGTATACGACGTAAAGGTGGTAGAAAGCGAGGTAGAACTTGCTATTTCGTTGTAACGTATTGGTGCTATTTCATTATTGATATTACTATATTGTGTCATATACGACGATACCGAGGGTAAACATTTTGGCGTAACAAAATTATAAGGATTAGAATGACTGGAGTACAAAGACGCTGTCGTGGGATTTGCAGTGAATGTTGGTAATGAACTCTTTGAAGATCCAGCACTTGTGCTATAATTAGAATTGCTGTTACCGCTCATTAGCATTACTGGTCGTATTATGGGCTTGAAAAATTCTTGATCTGCATTAAGCAAATGATAAACCCATATAGATGACTCATCGCTGAAAAAATGTTTTAGTGAGATTAATAATTATTGTTAGATTATTCAAAGCTCACTGTGACAATCCTAATAGATGATTATTGTAAATTTTGTGCCACTAATTTAAAAAAAATTAACGATCAGTCAAATATATGCAACTTGAGTTATAAAAATGATTGAAAAAACTACTACTACTTTGCTCAAAAAAAGTTGCGATTTAGGATTATAAAAATCTAAAAGATAAAGGAAATAAGAAATTAAAAAACCTATTTAAGCGAACTACATGAACAAGAGCTGTTTTGTACTGTCCCAAGGTGACGTCAAAATCGTTACATGGCACGACAATACGTTTGTTATTTGCAATACTTTCTCGGTTGCAGTATTCTTGCTGCGCTGGTTGCGATAACTAAATTACATTATGTCCATTTCAAATAAGCAAGAGAAGTAGTAAAATTTATCAATTTTAGTGAAGCGATCTAAATGATCACAGCAAATAATGATTATTATAAGAGGGCTCTAACTTAACGGACAGTTTTTATATTGGTTATCAGTACTTTTAACCTTGAAGTATAGCAAATAGCATTAGATAAGATAAACCTTGAAATTCACATAATATCCTTGAAAATTAATCGCTTCCAGATGATTGAATGCGACTTTATAACCAGCTCTATATGATAGAACACCAGAACTATACGATAAATCATAACGCAAATGACGGGAAGAAAAGCAAAACGTTACGCTGCAACTTGATCCACCCATATTACCACCATTTGCCTAAAAATTAAATGAATCAGTCATTACTAATTGTAAATGAAATCTCGAAAGTTGAGAAAATTAAATAGAAAAAATTCATCTAATGAAAAATTAAAGAAAATTTATGATGTTAAAATATAACCAAAGAATGTATATGAGCTATCAACACTTCGATAATGAAATTCCCTTCCCTGATCCCAATAATACCTTTGCTAACAAATAAAACAACTGTGCATCACGACTTTAAAATCCTTAAAAATTTGAATCTCTGGATACTTCTCGGATAAAGATATATTCTTGTCTTAAGTAATCATAAAATTTCAATATCCTGACATATTTTGAAATTTTCAAAGAAATCTTAGGCCCATTCTTCAAGTAGCACCAACAGAATTGGAGAAACAGGCAAAAGCGAGTTCAAACATCAATAAGTTGGAGAAGCGAAATTAAGCATACAATGAATAAACCCATCGATATGGCTGCAACCGGAAATGTTTTCATGCGAACAATATTTTGAACAGGTGGCTGTTCTGGTTCTGAAACAAACGTCACCAATTGTCACTTCTTTTAAAGTAAGTAGGCTGAATTTGAACTCAACTATGAGTTTAAATTTTTTAGAAAGAGCAATTTCATTCAATTTATATTTAATACAATCGTTAACATATTATACCAAATATAAATTAAATGAAATTGTAAAAAGCTATCTATGTTCTTTGTTAAACGAAAAAAAATAAATATCCAACTCCATTATTTTCATTTTCTCACACTATTCACAAGAAAAAGACAAATAATGCCAACATGCAAATTAGTTATGTTTTGCTTTCAGAATTGATGAAATTTTGAAATCTATTAAATATATTCTTTCTTGGGATTTCTTTCTTGAAATATATTCTTTTATGATTCTTTCTTGAGAGTTTCAAAACAAAACTATAATGCTAGGACTAACTAGGATGTTGTCTTTTTAGGCCTTTTTGCTCTCTTGTTCTGTTGGCAACCAATCGTCGAACTGTTCCTCTATCTACAATTTTCGTATCAACATTTTCACTCGTTTTCTTTTTATCAGTATCTTTTTCCACCTAAACTTTAATTCAAAATTATCTTTAATAATGAATTGCAACAATATTTTAATTTCGAATTTCAATTAGACCGCTGCAATGTAAGCTAAATACATGTAAAGTTAAATTAAAATTGCAAAGAAAATTTATTATTAGCATTAGTATAAGCTGAATTCAATTATTCAAAAAAAGGAAAAAAAAAACTTATCTTATTCAGTAAATTACGAAGTTGTCGAACGGTAACACAGGAAAATAAAATATTTGAATATTTTTTAGCTTCCTTCTTCCTTTTTTCACTTTTCTTCTTACGACGCTTCTCATTAGGACGACGAATTTCAGAATTTTCCTTCGATACAACGTGTTCTGCTTCTTCCATTGTTATTATTATTATTATTATTATTGGCTTCTAAAATTATTGCTTATTTTTTTAAATTAATGGTTAAAAATTTGTTATTAAGATTGGTTACACTTTTCTATTTATATGTTAACGATTTGTATGTTTGCTTAATAATTATTACTTGTTTACTATTTGAAAATTGTTTACTTATTTAAATAACAACTTTAATCATTTAATGCGCAACTTAGCTCAAAGTAAAAATGAGCGAAATAAAAATGCGTTCAAAAAAAAGACAAAAATCACATTATTAAAATAGGTGTGGGAATAAAGAGAACTGATTATCACGTTGGTAAATTACGTTGGCTATACTAAATGCTTACAACTTATCAACATTATTTAGTTTCCTAGAATCTCAATCAAACAATCGAATTTATTTCGATTCTCGTATATAATAAAATAGAGCATTTAATATTGAGGTATACATAAGTAAAAATCGTCACATGAGTGAAATAGTATAGTATAGTCCTAATATGTAGCATACCTGTGCAAAATTATCGTATAAAAGTTATGTAAAATCATTTTTCACTCTTAAATAAAAAAAAATAAAAATCCCTGTTCAAATCCAAGAAAGGGCAGACTAAAAAAGAAGCAATGAAACGAAACTTCAAAAAATGCACGTTAACTCAACATCATTCCTTAGTACAAATAATTGAAGAAAGCCATTCCAAATCAACTTGTAATAATAGTTTTAGTCACGTAGAAGGAGGAAACGCACATAAGACAAGCTGGTCGACGTACGAACTCTTGAAACAATGATAGTTTTGGCACACATTCATGCGTATTTCTTTGGGAGAGGCAAACAAAAAATATGCAAATTTTTCGTATATCAAATAGACTATCCATCGAGTATTTTGGGAAGTATTATGAGAAGTTTTCTTTGATTATTACAAATAAGAAAAAGAGGGAATGGATAGACAATTGTATCATTAACTTAAAACATATGGCAGAGAAGATTAACAAAATATTTAGGTATTCCATGTATAGAATTGAATGTATACGACCAAATAATACAGACTAAAACGTATGGAATTAAAAAGCTTACGTTTAGATGAAAATATATGAATATTAAATTGCATGATGGAGGATTGAACGTGTGCATCCCCGCTGCACTGCTATGATTTTTACGTAATGTAGACTGGCATGATGGAAAATCGAACGTATATATTATTCTTTTCACTATGATTTTTGACATCATGATTTGAGAATTATTTCGGCACAGAATCTGCAAAATCGCGAATGTGGTGTTACCTCAACTTATACATAAATCATTGAAATTCTTTTTTGTAAAATTACGGTTATATCAGAGTTAAAGTTTAAATGTTCAATTTCGGTTCTATCACCAAATTATCGTTCTTCATGCAACCGAACTTTAATTAATTTTAGAAGTTTAATTAATTTTAGTATAAATAACTAAGTATCAAGTTCAGACTAAGTTCCGTACGATGTTAAAAGTTCGGTATTGTTTTTTTTTTGCAATGATAGAAATTTTTAAAATTTCATATGTGTCATCCGAAATGAATATAGACTACTAGTATTACTGCCATTGATAATATGCGTAAAAAATTTCAATCCAAAGCAATTTTCTTCTCATTAATTTATTTCCTTTTTTACTCTTCTCTCTGTCCCTTCTTTCTCTAATTCATTTTAAAAATGACTGCAGTGACTGCAAGTTTCACGCCAAAATATATTTAAAATTACAAGATGTAAGTAATGTGACGAATGTTCCGAATCACTTTTTTGGCAAAAAATGAAATCCGTTAAAAAATAAACTAATTTATTCCATCATTTACAACTTTTCAATTAGTTTATTTTTTGATAATTCATATCTCTCAACTTGGAGAACAATGAAATGATTTCAAAAGTTAGCCGCAATCACATTTACAGTTTGAATTTTCAAATTAGGCATAGTATGTGATCTGATTATATCGATTGGTCTTTGAGGTCACTCTTGTATTGGAAAAAAATTTTACTGCATGAAATAAAACTTAACATAAATAATAGTTCAAAATTACAAACACAAATATTTAAACAGCAAAAGAAAACCCTGGAACATACACAAAAAATGGTATGAAAAATACAACATGAAATATGACTAAAGTACGACAGAACATATATTATGAGATAGTTTGAACTTCGCCTGAGCTGTTCATATTTGAAGGAATTTCTTTTTTTGTTTTACCCTCAAGAGCTCTTGACCACGCTTCCATAATCGGGTCTCCCGATTGTGAAGAAATCAGTGGACGCCAATTGCAATCCTGCATTCCAAAATCTGGAGCTCTCGGTGTGCTTCGTCCATCATTCCTGCAATCAGCAAAAGTTATAAAAAATGAACATACATCGCTGCTAACTATGAAATCATTTTAACTAGGGATTTAATAAAGAAATTTTTAAGGCGAGCGAAGCTATTGAAATTAGTGAATACAAAATCATCGTAATAGTAACACACAACAAAAACTATCAAAAGCAGGGAGAGAAGTAGGCAGAACAATAATGAAAAGTAAAAACTTGACCGGCGAATTCCACGAATATCTCACAGAATAGCTAATTTCTTCGTGAGAAAAAATTTAATTTGTTATAAATTTTAAAACAACAAGTATAACAGTATCTAACATGTACTAGTCATGAATTAAAAATGAGATAGACAACTGAAATGACCCACCTTTCATAGAAATCGCGCTTTTGATGGTAGCCGCCTCGAAATGGTCGACCACACTTCCACGGTCTTCCTGATCCTCGACCGCCTCTAACATCTGCTAAATTATACGGTCTTTTGAGCCCTTCCCGCCCATTACCTCGTCCACGAAATATAAATCGGCCATTATCAAAGCGATTTCTCCCGCGGAGCTAAATATCAGAAAACGACCAGTTAAAAATTAACGTGCTTTATTGTATCAAAAAACGAGTGTTGTTTATAACGCGGGGACAAATTTCCTGTTGAAATACCCCAAAAAATACGTTTCTCAGTCTGAGTTAACTATAAAGGTTATTGATCATCAGTGGTATTTGAGTTATGAGTACGGCGGTAGTGGTAAATTGTGTTTTGATTCTTTTATAAAGTCTTTGGATGACCTAGATACTGGTGAGTTTCGTTTGTTTGATGTTGATAACCGCTGTATGTTGCCGGTTAGGGTTAATGTTGAGTTCTATTGTACTTCTGCTGATGTTATTCATTCTTTTGCTATTCCTAAGTGTTTTATTAAGATGGATACTATAAATAGGTTCTTTTAATTTTTCTTGTTGTGGCTTGTTTTACAGGAAATGTTCTGCAATTTGTGGGGCTAATCATAGTTTTATGCCTACTATTATGGAATTGACCTCTCTGGAGTGTTGGAAGGGTTGATCTGTTGGTTATTTATTGAGTTAATTTTTTAGCTTAAATTTGAAAAATATTTGGTTGTGGTCCAAAAGATTTTTAAAAATTCTAAGTTTTTTTGTCTTATTTTTTGGTATTGCATACCAGCAGAGGATTTTATCATTGGTAGATGAATAATAGAATTTAAATGCTGAGGAAGAATTTTCGTTTCTTTTACGAAATTAGTAATATTTTTCTTGGTATTGACATAACGTATTTATATTTCTGTTTTGTTTTAGGTATAGTTTAAGTTATGTTTTTGTTTTATTGTGGGTGTTTTAGTATTTTGTTTCTTTATGAATTGTGTTTTGGTAGATTTTTTGAAGTTGATTTTTTAACTTATTTATACTTTTTGCTTTAGTAGTTTTTTTTTTGTTTGTTTGTGGAATGGAATTTAGAATAGAAGTCACAATCAGTTGAAAGTTTCAGTGAAAGTTGAAAGTTGAAAGTTTGAAAGTTTCAGAAGGAAAAACTGAAAAAAAAAACACACATTATTCTGCATAACATTTTGATTTTCATCTCGATTTTTCTGCTTTTGTAATTCTCGAAGTTCTCGCGCTTCCTGCTCACTGAGCATAACATAATCATTAAACTGATTATCCAATGTAACAATGAATGTTGGATGCTCCAAAATGAAACGATTTCGCATGTTGTCGAGAATTGTCTTTGAAAGATCTATTACATAAAAACTGAAAACATAAATCAGTCACTGTTTTGCATGGCAAAAATGAATAGAAAAAATTTTTTCCAAAATAAAATTTAGTTTTTAAGTGAGATTTGTCAGTAAATCCAAAATGGTTAAATTCTAAGAAAGTTTTTAAAAAAGTGAAAGGTTCTCAAACTTTCACTCAGTCAATGTTTTTATCAGACAAGGGTTGGTATAATATATTGTTAGTGTTCAGGGACAGTGCCACAGTTTTAAATATCCTATTCATAAATAATTACGATGAACTTAATGTACGGTTATTCGCCTCATTAGTATATTTCACTTCCATTATAATATTACCGTTGTTTTTCTTCAATAGGCACAGGCATATAAACCATCAACTTATCCATACCGGCTTCTTGGAAAGGTGCCATCTTCTCAGCATCAAGATCTGATTTACTAACAACTGGTCCCACCTATAAAATCATTTTCATTAATTCAGCAAAATTTTCAGCCTGGAAATTGGAGAATTTAATACAGTAATATAACTTTTTATGAATCATAACGCATACCTATATTCTTTAGGAGGGAAAGAAGGAGTGAAAACTATCTGACTCGAAAAAATCAAGAAGAGATAACCTAAATCCATCATAAAACACAAAAATATGCAAATTCGCAAACAGTTAGATGTCAATATTCAGATTTGAAATATTGTGAAGACCAAATTTTAAAAAAGAACCATTTTAGGCTTAATGAATTGTCGCAAAAGTGTTGTTACTGATATACTTTCCGGAATATTATTCACTGTATATCCATCTTCAACAACTTGTTTTCCAGTTTCCTGTTCTTCCCGACGAAAAATTATTCTTATAGTCCAGAATATAGTATCCGAAAAATGCTCATGGCGAGAACTGTTACCCTCTCAAATTTCATTAATATAAGTCTTTCATGAATAAATTTAAGATAATAAATTTCGAAGAAAATTAAAAAATTGAAAAATCATTTTTATCTAAAACATAAAGAAGAACTGATTGCATGAAGCAAAACGATTACAAACTGCGAAAAAAATCATTCGAATTAATGAATGAAAATGAACCCCTGTTAGGAGTGAGAGTAAGCCAAATACGCCTTCGATGAGCGTTGTTGAGTAAGTAACGCTTCGTAGCCATAGCTTTCCATTCCATATGCCCCACTGTTAACTCTTTCCCACCATCAATCTATAATTAAAAGCAATAAAATTACATCAATATAACAAAACCGTTTATAACAATTACCTCCTCTTGAGTTTCTCCTTTTATGGGAGGAAAAGAAGCGGGAAAAGGATTAATTAAATAATAAAATTCTTGAAGATCAGTATGGAAAGTATTGAAAATGAGTACTTTCAAACATATAGTCATGAAAAAATCATTAATTACCAGCTACTATTTTAAATCATATGAAAACGTACTTGTGATGGTGTCATTTCTTTTTCATCATTCGTTTCATCCATCAAACTACTCTCATTATCTTCCACTCCATTTGTGCAATGTTGTTCATGAAGAGTTGCAGTAGTCTCTTCTGTTGCAATGTCAGCAGCAATTTCAAGTTTATTTTCATTTTCTTTTGATTGTTGTAGAGAATGAGAAGTATTTGCATGATTTATTCCTGTCAAACGTTCGGCAGCATTATTCAGTGATGTTGTAACAGTACTGAGAAATTTTTCGTCATCAACAGCTACCGATGACGAGTAATCAACAAGCCTTTTGATAATATCAAATGATTTGTCACGCTCACCAGAACACTACAACATAAAAATAATTCTCAGGTAATTTAAAAAAAATGAAAACTTTCCTTATAAAATGATGGCACAAAAAAGAAAATGTGATTTAGAATAAATGAGATTTTTCCCGAATAACTAATATCAAAAGAAAATCATTTAAAACAAATGAAATCTTCCTTAGAAAAAGAAACAAAAAAAACCAACCTTGAAATGAAGCTTATACTTAAAAACTTACATCATATTTCGTTTTATGTTCTTTGGAGCACGGCAATGAACAAGTACGAAATGAGCAACGTGGACAACGATATTTCCATGAATCTTTATGGCACAAATCGCATAATCGAATAGGCTGTGATGTTGTACTTTCAGCAAATGTTTTCTCAGTCGACGAGAGATATTCACCAGCTATTTCATCCATAAATTAAATAACACAACTAAAATATTTTCACTGCCATTATTGCAATTTTTGAAAAGAACAGGAGCAATTAGCAGAATGAAAATTCGAAATTAGAAAAAAGTATAAAAAAAACTCATCCCTAAACAAACAGGGAAGTGATAAACTGAATAATATAACGAGCACCACAATACAATCGATAATATAATGAACTTCCTTCATGTTTTACCCCATCTTCTCCTCCCCATATCCCCCGGTATTTCCTCATGCTACCCTCACTCCTCACCGATTCCCCGGTATTTCCTCATGCTCCCCTCACCCCTCACCGATTCCCCGGTATTTCCTCATGCTACCCTCACCCCTCACCGATTCCCCGGTATTTCCTCATGCTACCCTCACNNCTCACCGATTCCCCGGTATTTCCTCATGCTACCCTCACTCCTCACCGATTCCCCGGTATTTCCTCATGCTGCCCTCACCCCCCACCGATTCCCCGGTATTTCCTCATGCTACCCTCACCCCTCACCGATTCCCCGGTATTTTCTCATGCTACCCTCACTCCTCACCGATTCCCCGGTATTTCCTCATGCT